TTTATCCTGTTTTCCTTTTGCCCCTCCCTGAGCCTGGTTCTGCCGTTTCTTCCTGTTAAAAGGGAGTTTTTCCTTCCCACTGTCGCCAAAGTGCTTGCTCATAGGGGGTCATATGATTGTTGGGTTTTTATCTGTATCTATGAAGCGCCTTGAGGGTACTTTTGTTGTGATTTGGCGCTATATAAATAAAATTGAATTGAATTGAATTGAATTTTAACATCCATTCACTAGCTGGGCCCACGTCCTCATTTTAGGTTTGGCAGCGTTTTAGTAGGTAAAGGTGATGCTTGGACATTAATTGAGCTGCGGTTTGGGGAAGGCCTCGAAGGGGACTGGCGACGGCTCCCGGGCCTGGCAGATCCCCGTGTTATAAATAGGAGTGAAGAAGTTAAAGAATTGAGAACAAGGAGGGAGGGAGGGTGGGTCACGTAAACGAGAATGAACAGTTTGCAGAACTGGGGGGAACCTATATAGATGACATCCGGAAGGAGCGTGCTTGGAGGCGTGGTCCCGCTCCTGAAATTCCAATACATAATCTCCAATTCACTAGCTGGACCCACATCCTCATTTTAGGTTTGACAGCATTTTAGTAGGTAAAGGTGAATGCTTGGACATTAATTAAGCTGCGGTCTGGGACAGGCCTCGAAGGGGACTGGTGACAGTTCCCGGGCCTGGCAGATCCCCAAAGAAGGCATCCCCTAGAAGCAGTAATAACTGTGCGATACGAAGGTCGAAGACGTCAGCGGAATAATTTGATTTTTGATTCAACTTATTTATACAGCACCGAGCCACAGTGACAGATGCCTCAAGACCCTGCAATGATGTCTACAGGAAAACCCAACAATCATATGACCCCCTACGAGCAAGCACTTTGGCGACAGTGGGAAGGTAAAACGCCCTTTTAACAGGAAAAAACCTCCAGCAGAACCAGGCTCAGGAAGCGGCGGGGCCATCTGCCGCAACCAGTTGGGGAGAGAGAAGGAGAAGAGGACAAAGACGATCGCATGGAGAGCAAACGTCGCTCCGTAGTGTGGATAGGATGAGCTCGGACAATTCGGAAGGAATGGCAGGAGGAGAGATCAAAGGAAGTTGCAAACAACGGAAATCTTAATGGATGAATGAGGGGAACCCTCAATAGCAACGTGGCTCAACTTTGAGCTTAAGCTCTGACAGAGAAGAATGCTGGATTTGAGATTTGAGGTAGGGCTTGGCGGCTCGAAAAGCTTGTCTTTGAGTAGAAGATGGAGAGGGGGTGCTTAGCTGGTTAATTACTTCAGATAAGGTAGCAATAACGCCTGAGCTGATTTCTGAATTAACAGAAGTGACAGCAGCAGCTTGGGGAGAGTTGATGAATTGAAAGACTGATTAGAGGAAAATAATCTCTGCAATAATAACGTCAAAATCGTCCGAGAGCAGAGTGCGAGTCCACTGGACTTCGTGGGAGATGATAAGTCGTTCAGACGCAGTCAGAACCGTGAGTCGACTTAGAGAGCGGTCTCGAATGATTGTGTCGAGGGTGGATGCCTGATGATGCTGGTGAAAGCACATGAGATGTGAAGGGACGCCATGAAGAATTATGTGCACAACGCAGTTTGGATGTCTTAAAAGGAGCGATAGAGGACAGAACCTGGCATCTCGGTGCCGGAGGCATGCTGTTGCATTTGCGAATAAGGGATAAAGAGAGAACCTGGCATCTTGGTGCCACGGGGTTCGCCGGTGCTT